AACGTTAGCTCATTTTAATCTACTTCAAATAAGCCTTGCAATTTGTCTGCTACACCTGCAACTTCCAAATAAGAACATCTTTACATCAGAAAAAGTGTTAACTAGTATTGCTCCAATAGTAACAACAGACGGGTTGTAAAAGTATGGATACTTTAGGAATGTAACATTTCAGGACCACCCTTAAGTCACTATTCTTTCTCTTTATGGGTTGGATTCAGTTCCAGTTTGCCATTGTGATTGATGAAGACACTTTTGTACACAAATAAGATGAATGCAACATTATGCCTGTCTCCAACGTACCTCAGCCCCAACGTAACCAAAACCTTCATTCATGTCTTTGTCTCCTCCTGACTTGACTTCTCTAAATGCCTTGCTCGCTGGCCTTTTCTGTTTCAGAAGTTCTATCCACGCATTTCTTGTTGTAGGATGGAGATGAATACCTATTAGCTGAGGTATGGTTTCTCTATTAGGTGAAGGAGGTACTGATTACAAGACTGTCAGGATAAAGCATTGGAGAAGTTCCTCTATAAAACACACAGAAGTTTGAAAAGTCTCATGATTTTACTCTGAAGACCATTGTCTTAAAGTTTAAAGTTTGCAAAAATCTTGAATTCTGTTGTAATTTAGAAGTCTTTTTCTGCAGAAATTTAAAATAATCAAATTTCAAATAATCTGAATTAAACATTTCTTGTAAATTTTCAGATAATGGTCATAAGGCAAAGACCAGAAGCTGGTTCCTTAGGTAACAAATGGGTAGATGTAACGGCAAACACAGTGATCGCTGAACCTAAGTTCAGAAATATTCAGCCCTGCAGTGGGTACAATTTGTGTACATTCAACCAGTCTCTTGAGGATCTGTATCCATTTCTGGTGATGTACTGAGATCCTGGCCATTGGTTGTCAGTGGTTGTTAGTTTTGGGCTGCTGCTTTGTAATGCCCATCAAAACCTAAGAGTTACAAAGAAAAGAAAACACAAGACATAGAAGATTGATAATAACCATTTGGTACAGGTTATTACCTAATCACTGGCTTCCAATGGACAGTTTATTGCAGGTACAAAGAACTAAGCTTTGCTCTTTTCACATCATAAAAATGAAGTGATGAGATTTGCTGTTACTCCAGATAGCCTAAAGCCTAAATATAGACAAGAGCCTAGCTTTTCAGCTGATTACACTGCTGAATCTAAAGAAGGCTGAAGAGCCCAGATGCTGAGCAGGTAATAGATAATAAACATAATAATAATAATCCTTGCATTTGATATAGCGCTTTTCATGTCTTCTAGATTATTCTGTATGATTTTAAAATTAATATACGCAGTAATTGCAAGGATTAATTATTATTATTAAGCATCAGATGCAAAGCAACTTTAGAACTGAAGAATTGTAAATTGGGTGAGTATAAAAACATATATATATATGTATAGGGCAACTATACAATATGTGATCATATATCGTATATTTCCTCTAGCATTTAATTTTATTAATTTTATTAAGTTTATGAGCTGCTCTGTTACTTTCTTCCGTTGCCACTGATTCAACCATACAGAAGTGATTTAATTGGTTGAACTACTAAAGAATAAGATAATAATCAGTATTCATTTCTCTTGTTCATGTTACCAAGGTGACGGTGCTGTATTGAACTAACAACATGGAATATGGTGATAAAAATCCTTGCATTCAATATAGCACCTTATCACATTATAAGGATGTCTTGAATCACTTCACAAGATATACTTTAAAGTCTAGTGACTGTGTATTTGTAGACCAAATATGCCAGTCAGTGTGTGCACAGCCAGAAACAGCAGGAAGTGAATGACCAATTTTATTTGGAGCATTGCTGGCTAGGATAAGGTGAGAAAATTCCTTCTCTTTTCAAACAGTGCCACTAGATCTTTGACATCCACTTGAACAAGAATCTTGGTTTAATTTTTCATCCAAACGATGGCACCTTCGACAATGCAGCGCGCCCCTACAACAACAAATACAACAAATTGCATTTGTATAGCAGGAGGATGTCCCAAGGAGTTGAATTGGAATGTTCGCCTTGACTTGTGAGTTAAAAATGCTGACATGGGTCTTGAACCCATATTCTTCTGACTCAGTGATGAGAGTGTTATCAAGTGAGCCAAGCTGACACCTGCCTGGATGGAATAATGCTGTTCAACAGGCTTCTGAGTTTCAAACTTGCCTGCCTGGTAAGACTTGCATCAATGCCGTGGAGTGACATAGAACAAGCTCCCACCTGTTACTGCTCTTCAAACAAATATGATGTGTTCCTCATCAAAGTCATTTGGACACAAGGAGCCTTTGAGAGGAGGTTCAGCTTGTCTCTATAAGGAGTGCAACAAAATTAGGTTACGATTCCCCCATAGCAGCCAGCAGTCATGCAACTTTGATAGAGATTATATAGCAAGTCCCTTCCAGTTCATAGGAGCATAGTACCGGAGACTAACAGGATGAAAAGGGAGAAAATAATAAGGAAAAACAAAAATACGTATTGCTTTATAAATGATTTAGGATACTGTACATGTTAGAACAGGTATGTGGAACATTGCGAACAGGTGCATAAATGCAGTTGCACAACTCTCTGTCAATTAGTTTGTGGCTTATGCCCTTTGTGAGTTATTATAGACAATGTGTGACAGGTAAGTGTGGAAGTACAGAAATTACTCCCTGATCATGTGATCACAAAATAGCTTACTTGCAACTTTGTCATTCAGGGGTTATGTGAACAAGTCACGGAATATGTGATGTGTTTCAGCATTACAGTGCTTAACAGCTACCCGACACTCAGCCTCTTTATGTCGTGAAAGTAGTTGTGAGGTTGCAACACATTTTTAAAAAACAATTCTACAAGGGTGACACAGAGTCAAGCTTAGAAAAGGCAAGGTGACCAGTTAACTTAACTTTGCATGCATGCGCCAGAATGTTTACTGGGTGGATTAGTATCTCGGATGCAGTTAAGTCACATTCATAGAAATTTACAGGACAGAAAGAGGCCATTTGGCACATCAAGTCTGCACTGGCTCTCAATGCAAGACGTACTTTCAATCCCACTGTCCTGGCCTATCCCCACACCATCCCTTACACCCCTTCAAGTGTCCCTAAATTCCACGGGAAATTAAGATAGTGATTTAGTGAACAAATTGATTGAGAACAATGAGAGATGGAGCAGTGTGTTAATTTGTTTTTACTTTGGGACCCTTCAGATACATCTCAACAGTCTTTTCCCATCCTGTTCTGAGTTCCTGATCTCAGTTTTATTGGCACAGGGAGCCACCAAATGTAAGTTAGCTGGTTCTCCATGAGGAGTTCAGCCAAATCATAATAATAATCCTTGTATTTGATATAGTGTCTCATCACATTATCACAATGTCTCAAAGCGCTTTCCTGGGTTTTACTGTGAAGGTTATTGAATGTGTATTTGTAGGCGAACGTAGTAGTCAGTTGCATACAACAATGTCCCACAAACGGCCACGAACTGAAAGACCAATTTTATTTAGGTGATTGTTGACTAAGATAAATTACCATAAAATTCCTCCCTAGAAGTTAGGCGTAGAGCAGCTTTGGTAGAGATTGCGTATCAAGTTGCTCGTTTCTCTGTTCCTGGAGCCTCAATCTGTCTGAAAAATGAATGCAGACGTGAGGACTGTATCGCCTGTATTCATTTTTCAGCCAGATTCTTGAATTCTGCAGCAGTGGAGTAATTCTGGACAGTATTAGACACAAGACGTATGTCGTGTGTTATTTATAACAGCTCCTTGTTCTGTATCACAAACCGCTCAAGTTATGTGCACTACTGCTATCCTGTATTTCTGGATCTCAAGTACCATTGTTTTCTATGGACATGACTCAGACACTTCTGATTAAACAAGCGATTCCTGGAAATGGGCCATGCATTGGACAGAGGCAGGGATTACAAGTACAGTATGTAGATAATAATAATAATAATCCTTGCATTTGATATAGAGCTTTTCACGTCTTCTAGATATCTCAAAGTGCTTCACAGAATAGACTGGAAAGTGAATTGACTGTATATTTGAGAGCGAAATGCGGCAGCCAATTTGACACAGCAGTGTCCCACAAACAGTTGTGGTTTGAAGTTACCAATTTATTATTGTTTTATTTTCTTGAGGGATTATTATCTGGTGTGTGGAGTAAGGAAACTTGCCCAAGGTTTCACCCTGCCGGGAATCAAACCCAGGTCTCTCGCTTGGAAAGCGAGCGCTCTTACCACTGAGCTACAGGACTCCACAAATCAGATGAGGAGAGAACTCACACCCAGGCCAGGAATGCAAGTTCATTTGAATCCAGTTGGTTCACGAACATATAAGGCAGGGCTAAAACTGAGCTTTTTGTTCAGGCTTGCAGAAACTTTAACCTCTTGATGAAAAGCGTAATATAACCTTCTGTTGGCTGTGATTTTTTTTGTGTGTTGCCAAAGGCATCAATGGTCTTATTGTTTCTGGTTTTGTTTAATAGGGTTGGTTCAGATCAACTAAATCCAGGGTGTGAACGGAATAGTTTTTTCTCATCGTTATGTGCACAGAGTAATACAGCACCTGGCAGGAGGTGTGCAACATTTGAATAACGTACACATAGGCCTGATTTGAATTCAATTACATGGCCTTCAACCTGGAGAGATGATTTATATAAACAGATGGTTAACACTTTCACTCATGGAGTCCAATCACCTGATCTGAAATATTAAATCAATAACAATTCATACTTATATAGTGCCTCTCACCTAGGGAGAATGTCCCAAAGGGTTTTACAAAAATTGACTGGGACCCTGAACTGGAAGGGAGATAGGAGGCGTAGGGGAAGGTGAGAGTTAAAGACATAGATCTTTAGATGAGTTGTGAAAGTAGAGAGGAAGTGGGTGGGGGAGGCAGAGGGAAGAAAGTTTCTGAGAGTAGTTGCAAAGTGGCAGAAAGCTGATCCACTGATGATGGGGTGGAGATGGTAGGAAGCAGTTTAGAAAAGGTTGAATAAAGGGAATGGCTGTGGGAATAGGATTGCAGGAGATCTCAAAGGTAAGATGTGGCATGGCCATGGAAGCTTTTGAAGATAAGGAGGTAAAACTGTTAGAGGAGACACAGTAGCAACACTGGCACAGGTAGGATTGAAACCAGAAAAGCACAGAACTGTAGAGATGGAGAGGTGAAAGGTGTTGTTGAGGCGGAATGATTGAAGAGGACCAGGATTCACAGGGAGAACTGTAACAGGCAGAAGGGATGTAATGTAATTTGTGTCTTTGATCAGGGTTGTTTTGAGTGGGACGAAAGTCTGGTATTCAAACAGACTGAGAGTTCCACAGTGATTTACCTCTTTCCCCTCAATGAGTATTTATGAAATATTTATGAAATCCACACCAGGGGTTTGGCTACCTTTTTCCTCGGCCTCCAGAAGTCTGGGTTTAAGCCCTACTTGTGGGTGAAACCAAAGCAGCAATTGTCATGTTTAAAATAATGATCAACTCGGTCACAAAAACACTGCAGTGTTAAATGATGTGCACTTTTTTGTCAGATACTGGAAGATTCCTGCAACAACAACAACAAATAAACAAGTATAGCACCCTTCACAGCGGAAAGACGTCCCAGGGCTTAATATCTATCCTGCACATATCGCTCCAATGTGCATAATTATGCACATTTTAAATTGAGCATTGGAAGAGACAGCAATTTTTTTTAACATTTTATTTCTTTTCTTTCCTAAAATGGATTATCCAGGGAGAGCAATCATGGGTTCTGAAGTGATTTACCTCTTTACCCCCAATGAGTATTTATGAAATATGTATGAAATCAACACCAGGGGTTTGGCTACCATTTCCTTGGCCTCCAGACGGCTGGGTTTAAGCCCCACTGGTGGGTGAAACTGGAGCAGCAGTTGTCATATTTAAAATCATAAATGATGTATCAGAACAAGTGAGAGTCCCTCAACAATCCAACCCTCAATCCATTCTTCACAGCTTCCGCAAACTGAGCCTCGGTTTCCAAAACCCTGGAGACGTTTCTTAGAAGATGGTTGAAATTTCTTGAGAGAGATAACCGGGATTCATATGGGAAGCATTGAAAATAAATGATTCATCTTAGGCACATCAGACATTTTTGTTATATCAGTCTTACCCCCCCACGGAGCTAATGGAAACTTTGACCGTCTGGCTCAGTTTGAGTAAATAGAAGGAACAAATTATTTTGAATGAGCTCACCAAAGTCAGGAGATATTTATTTCCAAATATTCAGCCCTTTCTGTTCATCACTGAACCGGCAGTTCTAATGATTGTAAGGGAAAGGGATGAAAAGCCAACAGAAATCCTTCTCCCACTTGATGTTGAAGACTGAGAAGTTTATAAATCCTCCCAATTTTTGAACAATGATAGATTAACCCACCAGAGACCTGAAATTGCATTGGGGCCTAAGATTCCTTGCCTAGGGTGTTACTTTCAACAAGGTCAGCAATAATAATACAATAATACTAAATTTGAAATAAATATAACACCTTTCAGATCGTGAAGGCAACTCAAAGAATTTCACAGGATTCACTCTAAAATGTAGATATTTTGTAGGTAAAAGCAGCAGACAATTTGCATACAGCAATATCCCACAATCAGCCATGGACTGAATGACTAATTTTATTTGAAGGATTGTTGGCCAGGACACCATGAGAACTTCCCTTTTCTTTTCGAAGAGTGCAATGGGATCATTAACGTCCACCTGAAAAGGCATATGGTATCTTATCTTAACATCTCATCCAAATGATGGCACCTCCGACAATGGAGCACTTCACATCACTGCAGTGAAGTGTCAGCCTTGGCTTTATGAGTTCAAAGTCCTGACATGATTCACCACCTTCTGACTCTGACGTGAGAGTGCTGCCACCTGAACCAGGTTACACTGAAATCAGGAAGCACAGTAAATAGAGTTGATGCAAAACGCAACTAACAAATATATTATTTCCAGTCATGCTAATAATTCTTCACAACCACTGACCTCTGGTTCCTTTTAATGGATTAACGGATTAAATAGCTGAACATTAACATTTCTATTTATATGAAACTGTGGTTATATGAAACTTGGATTTGCAATTCCAAGGTTAGAGTGGAGGTGCAGCATTCACACTGCACAGCTCAGCAGACTCTATCACCGGTGTGAGTCTGGCTCTGTTGTTAGCACTCCTACTTCTGGATAAGCAGATTGTGGGTTCAAACCCGCACAATGAGAGTTCGGCTGATGTGGTAAGTGGGGGAACACTATATTATCAGAGCTGCTCTCTTTTGAATGAGATGATAATCTGAGCTTCTGTTTGACGGTTCGGGTAAATGTTAAAATTCCCATAACACAAAGAGAAAAGAGTTTGTTCTGTCTAAAACTCTCCAGAATAATTGGTCATTCACTTCATGGCTGTTTATTAGGCTTGGCTGGCATCTAAAAGGTGACAGTAATTACATTTGAGACATGTTGATAAGATACGATAAAAATGTAATTTATTTACAAGTACTGTAATCCTACCTTAGCTCTAAAGTATACAGTAACATTGTAATGGAGCGGATAAGCAAGCATTAGCAAACCGGAAATCAGCATTCATTATCATATTCATTGGAACTTTTGAGAAGCAAATTTGCAGCCTATGTTTCCTACTAAACTTTTTGTCCAAATCTTTTGAATTTATAGCTCTTTTCTTGGCAAATACATTTCTCCAAAACAAAATGACTGTGATTGCAAACTAGCAGTGACTTATCAATCATGAGTGTTACCTTTCCAACCCCAATGTCTTCAAAATTATATCAGTGTGAATCCACTATTGTTTTCTGTGCTTGCTCTCCCACTGGAACTAACTACTGTAATCCCATTCCTTTCTCCTTTTTCTCCCCTCCACCTTGCCCCCTCCCTCCCTCCCTCCCCACTTTCAAATCTGGCCTAAAGACCTTCCTATTTGATTATGCTTATAATCACCTCAGCCCTCCTTCTCCCGCTGGCTCGAGATCAGACTCCACTACAACAACAACAACAAGATTCCATTTATAAAGCGCCTTTCACGTCAGGAGGACGTCCCAAGGCGCTGCACAGTTGGGTCATGACCCGAGCAGGGGGGAAATGGTCAGGGTGAGGGGAGGGGAGGGAGCGAGGAGGGGGGAAATGGTCAGGGTGAGGGGAGGGATGGGAGGGAGCGAGAAGGGGGAAGAGAGTCGAGAGTGGAGCTGAAGGCTCGGTCAAAGGCTCGGTCCACTACAGTCAAGCGCTCTGGGACGCAATCCTGCGTGAAGGGCGCTATACAAATGCAAGTTGTTGTTGTTGTCCAAATCCTTTAAAATGGTGTGTAGGTTTGGCTTAGTTGGCAGTACTCTTGCCTCTGAGTCAGAAGCTTATGGGTTCAAGCATTGCTTTGGGACTTGGAATTTATATGGCCTAAGCCAACACTTCAATGCAATGCTGGGGATGTGCTGTATTGTCAGAGGTCCCGTCTTTCAGATGAGATGTTAAACCGAAGCCCCGTCGGCCAGTCCAGGTGGACGTTAAAGATCCCACTATTTGAAAAGAGAAGGGAGCTTCTCCTGGTGTCCTAGACAACACTCTCCCAATAAAATTCGTCATTCACTTCATGGTGGTTTGTGGAACATTACTATGTGCAAATTAGCTGTCTTGTTTGCTCCCAAAACACACAGTCACAGAACTTATAGCATATCATGAGGTGCTTCGGATAGGTGTTATATCAAATACACACTATATTCTAGTGTGTATGTGTATGATAATGATAATAATAATAATAATAATAATGTGGTCACTCAATCCACGACTTTGTGGGACACTGCTCTACACAATTGACTGCTACGTTTCACCCACAATATATAGAGTCAATTCACTTTACAGTATATTCTGTGAAGCGCTTTGAGACATCTCAAGGATGTGATCATACACTATATGAAATGCAAGGATTATTATTATTCCTTTGTTGATGATCTTCCAGTTATATCCATTTCACCGCCGATCTGTGAATAGTTCTATGTTGCTACCACTGCTTTGAATTTAATTCTGTGAGGCAGGATGCAATCACCAGTAACCTCCGTGACTTCTGAGCTCTGGTTCTGCTTGCATCTGCTCTGAAAGACCTTGCACTATAAACATGTCAGCAGCACTCACTAACTGTGCCTATCACTCATCATGAGAAAATGTCCCATTGCCGTGAACCTGCAATAGAGTGTTATTTCTCCCATCTGGTAGGAGGCTTTTTGATTGATGTTGGTGTAGTAACTGAACGGGAACTGCACTTTCCACTGAATATACTCTGACGATTATTTCTTTAGAATCGTAGAAACTTAGAAGGCCATTCAGCCCATCGTGTCTGTGTTGGTTCCTTTAAGAGCAATCCTTTCAGGCCTATTTACCTGCCATTCCCCATACCCCTATAACTGTCTCCATTTTAGGTATTTATCTAGTTCCCCTTTGAAAGCTAATATGGATTCTGCTTCAACCACTGCAGGATATTTCCTTATTGTAACTACTCAGTGAATCAAAACATTTCTCCTAACTCCATTTGCTCATTTAATATCTTAAATTGATATCCTCTGCTTACTGATACCAACCAGTGGAAATAATTTCTCCCTATTGATTCTACCAAGACCCCTTGTAAGACCTCTATCATACCACCCCTCAACATTCTTTGTTCCAATTGAAAACGTTCAGTTCCTCCAGCTTCCACTCACCCTGGTATCAAGCCAGTAAACTTATAATAATAATAATCCTTGCATTTGATATAGCCCCTTATCAAGTCATTGAGATGTCTCAAAGGACTTGACAGAAAAACAAAGTGGATTGACTGTGTATTTGGTGGGTGAAACTTGGTGCTGTGAGCATATGATTCCTGGCAGGGCGAAACCTTGGGCAAGTTTTCTTACTCCACAAGCCTGATAGTAACCCTTCAAGAAAAAAAATAATAATATGGTCACTCAAGCCACGACTGCTTGTGGGAGACTGCTGTGCACAATTAGCTGCCGTGTTTCACCCACAAATATACAATCAATTAACTTTACAGTATATTCTGTGAAGCGCTTTGAGACATCTAGAAGACTTGAAAAGCACTATATCAAATGCAAGGATTATTATTATTTATTATTATCAATTCTTAACAAGAGGACAGGGATCAGATTGTAAAAATAAGGGTTAAGGAACTTCCTACTTTTAGAAATTGTTATATATTTTTGGAAAAATGTTAATAATTCTCTGCTGAGAAACAATGGTATGGCTTATTTAAGTACAAAACCAACCACAGATGGTGAAGGAGGAGGCAGAGCTAAAGTTACAGGCTTGCCTTTTCCTTCCTTATTATATTTCCGTATTTTAGATGAGATGTTAAACCGAGGTCCTGTCTAATTTGTCAGTTGGACGTTAAAGACCCTGTGGCACTGCTCAAAGAAAAGGGAGTTATTTCCAATATCCTGGCAAATAATCCCCCAGATAATACTGAACATTCATTTCATGGCTGTTTGTGAGACATTGGTTTGTGTGAGTGGACTGTTGCATTTGCTTACAAAATACATGGTCACTACAAGTTATAGTGAATCCTGTGAAGAGCTTTGAGATATCCTCCCATGTGAAAGGTGCTCTATCAACTGCAAGGTTTATTATTATTATAAAATCAGGCCTGTACTGATGTTTCTATCTACTACCTGAGAGAATGTGAATAAACATGAGTAATGAAGTGAATTGATAAGGTAGATATGCCATTATTGTTATTATTGTCAACTGTAGCAAGTGTGGGTAAATAGGAGCTATTTACAAGGTCCCACAAACAGCTATAAGATGGCTGGGAAGATTGCTATCCACGACACAAGAAGAAATTCCTTTCTCTTTTCAAATTGTGCCATGCGATCTTTAACGTCCTCCTGACCAGAAAAAACCTTAGGTTTACATGTCATTTGAAAGACACCAGTTCTGATAATGCAGTGCTCTCTGTTCCCCCAACACCGTACTGGAGTTTCAGCTTAGACTATGAGCTGAAGTCTCAACGCTGGGCTCAAACATGGCAAAGTCTTCTGACTTTGCGATGTGTTTGTTAGAAAGCCAGGCTGTGATGGATAATAGTTTTGTGATACCAACACAGTAGAAACCCGTTTTTTAGTCTATTGGCAGATCACTTTGTGGGAATAATAGTTCCTTTTTTAAAAAAAATTTGGATAACGATGTGATAAGGCGCTATCTGTGACAGTAGAGAAAAAGATAAATTAGATATCTCTATTTGTTTAATTGTTCCGCCTTTAACTGTTAACGCCTAATAACAACAAATGAAAAAGATAAATCTTGAAGAGAGCCTCAAGGGAAAGCAGTTTCTCCCAGTGTCCTGGCCAACCTCACCAGATAAAATTAGTTATTCACTTCATGGGTTTTAAATTCTCCTTGGGGAGGGGAGAGGAGCTAAGTGGGGTCTCCTTGGAGCTGAATTGGCTCCACGGTGATATGCCTGGCAATGGTATGTTGGAATTGAGCCAGCCCTGTCTCGGTAGTCCAGATCCTGAGCCAGGCAGGTCCGTAGTATTCCAGGGCACTGCTGACGACAGCACAACGAGCCTGGCTCATTGGCAGAAACTGGAAGGACAGACCAGTTACTGGGGGCAGGGAGTCATCTTACTCAGCTCCCATTAACCCTGCAAGCCAAAGCCCTAACAGGTAGGGTGGTCCCAGCTGGACAAGCAACGGCAAAACTTGCTGGACAGCAATATCAATGGCAAACTATGCAGTTTTAGCTGCTTAGACTCCAGCAGTACCCCAACACACAGTCTGGGGTCCTCAAGCCTTGGCTGTTGTCAACCTGCACCTAATACTTTCCGGGATTAGATAAGCAGGATGGGTCCCTCCAGGGAGAGAGTGCACATTCTATTCCAACAATCTATCTTTGGGATTTCCATGTGTAGATAGGATGCATGGAAATCTCATCTTGGTTTGGACTGTTAAGCATGGTGATGGGATTCTGCATGTATCAGATATCCAGCTGTCCAAAAAAATAAATTTAAATCCCTTTAAATGGAGTCCTGTAGCTCAGTGGTTAGAGCACTCGCTTTGCAAGTGAGAGACCTGAGTTCAATTCCAGGCAGGTCACGGCGAAACCTTGGGCAAGTTTCCTTACTCCACACGCCTAATAATAATCCCTCCAAAAAAACAAAAACAATAATAAATTGGTCATTTTCAATCCATGACTGTTTGTGGGACATTGCTGTGCGCAATTGGCTGCCGCGTTTGCCCA